GAGGGGCGGGCCCGAAGGGCTTCCTAGGATGTACATGCACAAACAAAGCTTCATAGAATGGAGAAGGCTCAACACTGTATTTTATACACACACACACATGATAGAGGTCACGTTTTTTAATAGTTAAAATATCAGAGAATGTTACTGGCTAGTTACAGCAGTGAGCTTCATACAGCATCCCACCTTTATGGACTTATCAGAAGAAACAGTTTCAGGTTCTTTCATCTCCTCCAAACACTTAGGAAAGCCATTTTTAACCAAACTGCTTGGCAATTTTCCCATTTGAATAAAACCAAGCACTGGCAACGACCAACAAGTAGAAAAGAAAGCAGAATATCTCGGAGACATAGTGGGATGGCTCCTATGACTAGAGCACTGGAATGGAAGGGCTGAGGCTTTTTAGGAAAGACCAGCTAGGAAGATGAGGAGGGGATGCAGCCCTCTACGGATATGGAACTCTGCCTGGGGAAGTACGAGGAGCCAGCTGAGAGCTTGTGGGTGAAGATTAAGGGGAGGGCAAGCACAGGGATATTAAGGATAACAGGAAGGCCTTCTATAGATGTGTTGCAAGCAAGAGTTGGGATAATGTGGGCCCCCTCCAGAAGGAAACAGACCTGACTACCCTGCACAAAGAGAAGACTGATGTTTTCAAGGACTTCTGCGCCTCAGTCTTCAATGGCAAGTGCTCCAGCCATGCTGCCAAGTTGAGAAAGGCAAATGCAGGGACTGGGAGAATGAAGACCCTGAGCCAACTGAAAGGATCAGACTCGAGACCGTCTAAGGAACCTGAATGTGCTCAAGTCCATGGGACCTGAAGAGATACATCCCCAGGTCCAGAGGGAACTAGCAGAAGTTGCTAAGCCATTATCCATCATTTTTTGAAAAATTGTGCCAGTTAGGTAAAGTCCCTGATGACTGGAAAAAGGGAACTATAACCTCCATTTTTGGAAAGGGGAAAGCAGAAGACCTGGGGAACCACTTCTACCCAGAGCAATGGTGACAGTGCTGCACAGCCCAATGGAGCTGCTTCTCCTATCTCTACAAGATCCTCCACTTCCATCACCCTCCACCTCACTGGTTCCACAGGACAGAGGCTGCCCAGCTCTGGAGATTGGACATTTCCCAGACATTTAATGGGCAAAGGAGTGGTGAGCATGTGTTGTGATGGTGTGGGACCTGAGCAGGACATACACAATATGGATTAATAAAGGCTGGAGAACATGCTGAGTTGGGCAGAAAGAGTTCCATTTCTTCCAGTGGGCCTGTGGTTTGGATTTGTGCTGAACAGACTGTTGATAGCCCTGGCATGTTTCAATCAGTGCTGAGCATCAAGGCCTTTGGTGCCTCTCACAGCATCCTGCCAGCAAATATGCTGGTGTTGCACAAGGACTTGGGAGGAGATAAACTCTTCAGAAGGGCTCAGCAAGGAAGAAGCAGTGAGGTAGCCCTGTATATGAGGGCATGTTTTGACTCTAGGAATTGACAGTGGTGATGAAAGGGTCAAGCGTTGATGGGTAAGAATCAGGGGAAGAGGAGATACCAAAGTGGGAATCTTCTCAGACACAGGGGGAAGGCTGGTAGGAAGAGTGGTAGTTCCCAGGGTCCTACAGTCTACCCTTAAAGCAGGGTGCAATGAAGTTTCCTGGATTGTCCACAGCTTTTCTTCTGTGACAAAGTGACCTGCTTGGTGGGAGAGAAAAACGCTGGGGACGATGTTTACCTGGGCTTTTATTAAGCCTTTGACACCATTCCCCAAAGCATTCTTGTGGAGAAACTGGCTGCCCATGGCTTGGACAGGTCCACTGTTCACAGTAAAAAAGGGTCTGGATGGCCAGACTCAGAGAGTGGTAGGGGACAGTTTAATTCAGCTGCTATCAAGTCACCAGTGGGGCTCCACTGGGCAGCACTGAGACCAGTCCTGTTTCTACCAATGACCTGGAGGAGGGGATGCTCAGCCAAATTGTAAAGGATCTGCCAGAGGACAGGAAGACTCTATAAGGGGATCTGTAGAGGCTCAGGGATTGCGCTGTCCCAGGCAGTTCCTGAAACCCCCTTCTCCCCTACCCCATCCCTGACTACTCATTCTTACTACACCCTTTTTCTCAACTGAGTCCAGCACCGCCGCCACCACTGAGGCTTCAAGCGGATGCTGAAGCACCATCGGCACTGCCCATGGCGTGTCTGCCAGGCTTCCAGGTATCTCCGAAGGTGGGCATGAAGCTGCCCCAGGAACCTTCCAGCAGCAGTGCTGGTGCTGTATTCCAGCTCCACTGAGCTGCTGCTGCTGCTGCTGCTGCTGCAGCTGCTTTCCAATACAATGGGATTCATGATCACCACTAGTCTAGGGAGCAACCTGGCAATCGTCACAGATCTTCTGCGCTGCAGCATCACGGAGCTGTTGCTACTGCATCGTCTTATGTCCTTAGGTTTGTTCTCTTCTGTCACCTTGTACATGTCTGGCCTTGCCAACTCCACTTCAAGGCACTGGGGACGCTCTCTGGCCCCCAGCAGCCTCGGCGTAACATGCACATCAGCCTGGACCACCCTGCTGCTCCCCCGGCCCCATCGCCACCCTTTTATAGCCTGGCAGAGTCTCCTGTGTGACATCATGGGGCAGCCAGAGCCCTCTTTGTGACAGTGTGGGGCAGTCAGAAATCCCTTTGTGACAGTGTGGGGCAGACAGAGCCCTCTGTGTGTCATCCTGGGGCAGTCAGAACCCCCTTCTGGATATCAAGGAGCCCACAGGAGGCCAATGGAGAGCCCTTGCTGCCACACATTCCACATTGCCCTGCTGAAACCTTCAGGATTCTTTAAGTCAGTCAGGTGGTAACAATTTCATTTGACATCATGAACCTGTTTTCAGTTGTTGTTGGATCTGTAATTGCTGGGAGCAGGAGGAGGCTAACTGCTTCATAAAATAGATCTCTTTTGAACAGATGATTTGTCTCAGTTTCATGAGCCTCCATGACACAAGGGCAGTGATCATGCCCCTGTGCTGGGCACTGGTGAGTTCGGACTTCGAATCCTATGTTCAGTTTTGGGCCCTGCACAAAAATAAAGACATTGAGGTTGCTGGAGTGTATCCAGAGAAGGACAATGGAGCTGGGGAAGGGTCTTGTGCTTTAACACCAGCTGGCAATTCAGTAAGGAAAAAAAAGTGAGAAAGAAACTCATAAAGTGAGATAATTCAATAAATAGAAACAAATTCTAAAAATATTGGATGAGAGAAAAGAAAGGGAGAAGAAAACCAAAGTTAGTATTAACAATTTCTCTGCACCCAACAACTGATGTGCAGTCAGTCACCCATCATGGAATCACAGATTGGTTTGGGTTGGAAGGGACCTTAAAGATCAAGTACGACCATCTTGCCATGGGCAGGGAAACCTTCCACTGGACCAGGTTGCTCCAAGCCCCATCCATCCTGGCCTTGGACACTTCCCAATAAAGGGCAGCCACAGCTTCTCCAGGAAACCTGTGCAGGGCCTCATCACCCTCACAGGGAACAATTACTTCCCAATATCCTATCTATTCCTTCCCTTTGGCAAAGGGAAGCCATTCCCCCTTGTCCTGGCACTCCAGGCCCTTGTCCAAAGTTTATTTCCAGCTCTCTTGAAGTCAGGGGCTCTAAGGTCTCCCTGGAACCTTCTCCTCCCCAGGCTGAACACCTCCAGCTCTCTCAGACTGTCCCCAGAACAGACAGGCTGCAGCCTTCAAGCATCTCTGTGGCCTCCTCTGGACTCATTCTAGCAGCTCCACATCCTAAAGGACCAAATGCCATCCAGAGGGACCTGAATACACTGAAGAAGAGGGCCCATGGGAGCCCATGAGGTTTAACAAGACCAAGTGGTGGTGCTGCATGTGGATCAGGACAACCCCTAGTATCAAACCAGTCTGGGGAATGAAGAGATCAAGAACAGCCCTGGCCAAGACCTTGGGGATGCTGGTGAATGAAAGGCTGGACATGCCCTGGCCCTGTGTGCTAGGCTGATCCCACAGTGTGACCAGCAGTAAAGGGCAGGGGGGGATTCTTCACTTCTGCCCTCTGGTAAGATCTCATCTGCAGTGCTGCCTGCAGCTTTGGGGTCCCAGCACAGGAAAGATGTGGAGAGAGTCCAGAGGAGACCACAAGATAATGAAAAGGATGGAGCACCTCTATGCTATGAGGAAAGGCTGAGAGAATTGGCATTGTTCAACCTGGAGAAGCTTTGAAGTGACCTAATTGTGGCCTCGCAGTACTTGAAGGGGGCCAAGAAGAAGGATGGAGAAAGACTATTCACAAGGGCGTGGAGTGACTGGACAAGGGAGAACGGCTTCTGAGACAGAGTAGGTTTAGATTGGATATTGGGAAGAAATTCTTCCCTGTGAGGCTGGTGAGGCCCTGGCTCAGGTTGCCCCAAGAAGCTGTTAGTGCCCCATCCATGAAAATGTCTGTCGTGGTTTGACCAGGAAGTGAGTTTCTGGGAAAGTTATGGTCAAACCAATCAGTGGCCAGATTTGAAACTGGCACCTGGTGTGGCCACTGGGGACTTGGATACACCTCTGAGAACACACAGGGGTTAAAAGCAGAGGATTCCCAGAGGAACTTTCTCTTTGGAGTCAGCTGTGAGTTGCTCTGACCTCTCCCCTGCCCAGCTGCGTCTGGGTGCGGGAGGGGGAGGCCATGCGGCCTGTGGGGAAGGGAGGCCGGAGCCCCTGCAAGGTGCAGGGGTGGAGGGGAGAGGTGTTCCATTGTGGATTGTTGTGTGTGGTTTTTTTTTTCTTTTTTCCCTTTTGTCTCCATGTTGTAGACTAATAAAGTGTTGTCTTTTCCCTCCATTCCCAAGTTGGAGCCTGCTTTGTTCTGTTTCCGGGTCACATCTCACAGTAACCATTTTAGAAATATACCTTTCATGGGGGCACTAGCACTGTGCCAGGGTCAATCCATGACAGTGTCCACGGCCAGATTGGATGGGGCTTGGAGTAACTTGGTCTAGTGGAAGGTTTCCCTATCTATGGCAGGGGGTAGAACAGGATGATCTTTACAGTGCCTTCCAACCCAAACCACACTGTTCTTCACCTCTAAGGACTACTGCTGCCAGCTTTTGAGGCACTTTATTTACAGCAACACAAAGAGCTGTAAAAACACAACAGCCAGTGAGGTGTGAATCCCTCGCTGTAACTGTCGCTCCTGATCCCACCTTCACAAATGCATTCTGGATACAAAGCCTTTGTGGAAATGTTGTGCTGCTTTTGGACCTAGAGTGAACAGATGTGTCCCCACAGAGCAGTAGCAGGGTTCAGCCCTGCTTGGTCCCACTCAGTGGCTGGTCAGGATGCTGCTGAGGCTCAGCAAGACAGGCTCTGGGTTCAAGTGTGTCCCAAAGGAGAAGCAGTTTCCACCACCGCCTATAACCAACAGCTCCTTCTCATGTGGCAGAAAGACACTGCTATGATTATGTAGCATTAATGGCCACTCCAGGTGCTCCTGAAAAAGGAAAGCAGATTTTGAACATACAGGACTTCATGTGGTCCTGAATGTGGGCAAGAACAGACAGCTAGAGAATATAGAAACAAGTAACCTCTGAGGTGCACTCCTCTATGACACCCACCCACCCACCAACTTGCAGTTCAGTGATTTTTTAATGAGAGAAAATGCCTTTGTACTCCCTGAATCTTAAGAAGGTAGCCAATCAGTTTTTGATTCAATGTAAATCTTCATGGCCTGTGGCAAGGAGTTCCAGAGCTTATCTATGTAACTGGCAGGTTCAAATGCCTAGAGAGTTTCACCTTAGTCAAAGCACACAGCTCCTAAGCAAAGGAAGACACCAATCCATCTGCAACTGCTTATTCAGTGCAAATAAAAAAAGTTACATTCTTTTAGACGCAACTTTGCTATCACTGTACCTATCCTCACTGCTGTCCAACAAGGGCAGTCTATTTTATCTAAAGGATATGAGGCCACTTATAACTTCTGCTACAGACAATAATTGAAAACTAAGCTACAATTAAGCATGTTTCTTGCTTTTATTCCCGTAGCAAAACGCTGCAAGGTCAACTGGATGCACACACACTGTTCACTATAAAAGACGAACTCGTCACAAATTCCAGTTTCACCAACAACAGGTTCCATATGTACAGTTATCAAAAGAAACTTGTTTCTTTACATAAAAGATAAATAAAAACTTGTCAGGCCAAATAAATGTTCTTAGAGAATCAGAGAATGGTTTGGGATGGAAGGACCTTAAAAAAATGCCACCTTGTTCCACCCCCCTGCACTGGGCAGGGACAGCTTCCACTAGGCCAGGTTTGCTCCAAGCCCAATCTAGCCTGGCCTCTAACTCTTCCAGGGATGGGGCAGCCAAAGCTTTTCTGGGCAGCCTTTGTCAGTGCATCACCATACTCTTCATAAAAAATTTCATCCATATACCTAGTTTGAGGCTACTGTCCTTTAGATGAAAACCACCACCCCTTGTCCTATCACTACAGGCCCTGCTAAAAAGTCTGTTCTCATCTTTCTTACAAGGCTCCCTTTAAGTACTGGAAGGGGCTCTAAAGGCTCCCCAGAGCCCTCCCTCTCTCTTAAGGCTGAAAAACCCCAAGTTTCTCAGCACATCCTCACAGGAGATCAGCTCCAGCTCTCTGCTCATCTTTGTGGCCCTTCTATGGATTTCATCCAACAGATCTATGTCTTTCTTTTACTCAAGGCAGTATTATCTGAGATGAGGGATACTCAAAGACATAGACCAAGTTTTGGCCAGAGTATGCCAAAATCCTGCTTTGTGACACCACCTGTATGACTGCTCTTCAGTGATGCACAGAAGTCACCAAATAGTGTCAGTGAAAAGGAAGGGTCTTCCAAGCATCATCCTGTTCAAAGCAGGCTCAAGTAGGCTTTTCAGTAGCTCGCCCAGTCAGGTTCCAAATATTGCCAATAATGGAAATATGACAGCCTCTCTAAGCAATCTGTTCAGGGTCCAATCATCCTTACAGGAAGCTTTTATGTTCCAGTGGAGTTTCCAGTATTTCTGTGGTGGTTTTTTTTCCTCGTATTTCAGGCAGCAGCTAGAGCACACTGCAGTTTCCACCCAGAAGTTCTCAATGAAATTATACTACAGACCTTCATAAACACTAACTTAGCCTCTGGTTTATCTGTTCCCTTCCTCCACAGACATCCTGAAGTGACTATGCTTGTGCCCATTTCAGTTCTGCTGCCCCTTGTCTGAAACAGAGCAACTCCATGTTCCAGTCTTCTGCACATTCCATCTCTCCCTCTCTTAACCCTGTACATTCTCTGTGCTGGGTAACAGCATTTTGGAATTAGATCCTACCTCTCCATAAAATTACTAAGTTCCTTCACAGGAACACTGCTTACCCTGAAAGAAAAATTTCAGTACTTACCACATTAATCACATAGTTCAAGCAGAGACCAGTCATTAAGTTGATGACAGTGACACCTGGCACAGAGGATGCATGAAACCACACTCCACCAACAAGCAGAAGCTTTCCTTCATGCACATGTGCAGTATGTGAATACCTGTGAGATCAAAATGAGGTTGAACTCCATTAGCAAGGGACACTGGTAAAGACAGGCTGAAGAGCCTCTGCTGAATTCTCTGAGCAACCTGTCTAGTTGAAGATGCCCCTAACTCATTGCAGGGAGGTTGCACTACTTGGCCTTTAAGAGGTCCCTTTCAAATCAAACTATTTTATGATGCTATGAGTGTCTTCTGCTTACCTTGGGACAAGAGGAGGGTGTGTCTCTATTGTCTGCCACTGAAAGCCATGTTCAAGCTCCCTCAGAAGGAAAACTGAACCCAAGGGCTGCTCAGCTGCTCCCAGACCTCCTGCAATCAGAACACCTCCTTCCCAGCTGCAGGCACTGTGAGAGTGGCGGCTTTCTGGGACTGGACCCTCAACAGCAATCTGAAAAAACACAAGTCCAAGGCTGAAGTTTGCCAAGCTAAGTGTCTGCTTAATGTCCAGGCTTTTAAATGCTTTTTCCTGTGTGGTTAGTTTTTTGACATCCAACCTTCCCCACATGTTCCTCTAGAGACTGCTCCATGCTTCCATTTTCATTGTCTCTGGACCTCAGTACATTTAATACAATCAGTCCTTAGAGGCTATATTTTCACACATTTATTAGAGGTAACTTTATCTTCATTCCTGCAGGCTGCTTTCTGCTCAAGACATACACCTGGGAACTCCAAGTTAGCTTAGAAACACATAGACTAATGCAATGACCAGCAAAGCAGGTGATCAGTTGCTCAAACCATAGAGCGGGTTAAAAAGCTCAACTGCAGGACTAAAACCCAGAAATAAAACCTTTAGTGCAAGCACTAAAGGAAAAAATGTAAGGTCGGGCATTAAAGGAATATCACAGCAAATAAGCGATGTAGAAAAATTTGGAAGTCACTTTGTCCATACCTTTTCCCTACAACAAATGAAACTATATGTTATCATCTGGATGAATGAATGTTTATGTAACAGTTTCCAAAAGTCTGCAGTAACAAGAATTTCTCACCTCTTTAGGCAGTCTATTACAGACTCAGCAAGCTTCACAATCAATAGCTTTCCTTAATGTCCATCTGATTCCCTGTACTACTCAAAGTTAAAATGGAGAACAATTTTTTTCTTCTCTGCAGCAGTATTTTAAATATTAGAAGATTTATTTCTATCTTGAATCTTCTTCAGATTCAACAGCTAGAAGACCTTCAAAACCTCCCCCTGTGAGGTATGTGGCCTGGTCATTCTTGGTGCATATCTCTATACAGCTGTTTTACACCCTGTCCACCTCCTTTTCAGCTGTCAGCTGTGGGTATTTTACAGGAGGTCTGCTGAGATTAAGAACATTGTAGAAAACAAAAGAAGCAATTCATGTGTCTACCAAATAACATTCCTGGTTACATAACTGAAGACACAGTGTAGGCCTCCCACAACAGTGGGATATTGCTTACTCACGCTTAGCTTGTGACCTCTTGCAATTATGCATCTCTCACCCTACAATTGTGCTATGTACAAGGTCGGGTTCAAAGAGTTACATTAAACAGAATTACATAGGCTGGTGGCCAGTACATAAACGAGGGAGTAAGTCCTCTTCCACTCAATTTCCTCTTATGACACATTCAGCAATCTAGACAACTGTGGCAAATCGGCAGATGTGGAGGTGGTTTTGATTGTAGCAAAGCCTTTAATACTGTCTCTAACAGTATCCTTCCACAAAAATGTCCAGCTCACAGCTAGGTAAGTCCGTGATGGGAAGAGGTGAAAGAAGACAGAGACAGTATGTTCTCAGCAGCATCCAGCAAAAGGGCAAGAAGCAATGGGCACAAACTGACATAGAAAAAAATACACATAAATCCCCCTCATATTGTTCTATCAGGGTGGTCAAGCACTGGAGTAGGTTGCCCAAAGAGATTGTGGAGTCTCCATCTATGGAGATAATCCTACCTGGACAATATACTGAGCAACCTGCTCTAGTTAGACCAGTTTTAAGCTAGAATGCTGGACTAGATAACCTCTAGATGTCCCTTCCAACCTCCACTGTTCTATAGAGACTGTATGTGACTAAAAAGCTGGGTGTTCAGAAGTCAGCTCTAACTCTAATCCCCATGGAGTATATTCTTACCGCAGTGCAGGAGAGTTCTGGAGCGTGCAGGAAATGCCAATCGCCGAGCACAGGCTCCAGAGCAGAGCGGCCACCATACACAAACAGGTACTGCTCACCTAGGGGAACACACAGCCAGGAGGTAACAGAACTCAGAATCTGGTGTGCCACAACAGAAGAAAATTCTGTTTGCATAGAAGGGAAGCTGACAAACAGGGTGCAATAATACTCTGGGTAGATGTCAAGGACGTGCATTTACTGCACTATATGCTGTCCTTCCACTGATTCAGAATGGACTGTGCAGATAACAGCAGTGTTGGTCACTTTCTTCAGCTACAAAGCAATACCAAGGCAAAAGTAAGATGAAACAATGCAGTCTGACAAAGACAAAATCCAATGTATTATGAATAAAATTTTATTTACCCACTTAGCATTTGCTTTTTTGATATAAAATTCTGACTGGAAGGTTGAATGCTACAGTATTAATTAAACTGCTCCACAAATGGAAAGTGTGCTCCAGACTAGACTAACAACTGCTTAACAATTCCCCTCTTCTTCTCTTGGAGAGCTCCCTGCCAGCTGCAGGAATGGGACACCTTAGGAAAGGACAGCTTTCAGCTCCTGAATGCCACTGCTTAAGTTTTTGCCCCTTACAACCAGGATCTTTTAATAGACCAACCTTCAGCTTGCTATTGCAGGACCTGATTCTAGAGCTGTTCACAACTACTAAGTGTTTGTAAATTGCTACTAGAAAAGTAGTATTTCTTCTGAAGGACTTTGGGATAAAGAGCTTGGGATCCTGTTCCCCAAAAAATATCCTACAGAGAGAGCAAAACTTATTTCTGCCATGATCAAGCATGAATAGCTTCAGCCATAGGTATCTCAAAGAATCAGTCTTCCAGAATGGATTACAGTAGGTTCCAATCCTACTTGCCACCAGGGATTATGTACATAACAAAATAAAAAATTACCATATTTCAAGTGTCAAGAAGAGATCTCAAAGCCTCCTAATTTCTTCACTACTGTCAGGCTTGAGGAATGATCAATATGAACGTCATGAAATTCAGCAAGGTCAAGTGAAAGATCCTGCATACCTACAGCCATTTCCACTCTTTCCAGGCTTTTTACCTTTGAATGTAATTTCAGTTGTGCTGTGTCTCCAACGCAAAGCTGCTGCTTCAGCAGCAGGCTGCAGACTTACAAGCTCCACTGCAACGTCATCCGGGCCTGAAGCACCACAGGTTTTGGGGAACTTCAGCCACAACATTCCCAAGCCTGTGCCCGATGGGGATGTTCGTCCTCCTAGCACCAGAGCCAGAGTGTCCGAGAGACAAGACACAGTATGGTACAACCTCTCACCTGTGGAGATACAAAACATCATGCTTCACGCAGGTGGTCTTTCCATGAAATTTATAATCATTTAAGTTGGAAAAGACCATTGAAGATTATCAAGTCCAACCACTCTTCCAGCACTCTCAAGGGCAAAACATAACATGTCCCTAAGAGCCACTTTCACATGGCTTTTAAATTCTTCCAGGGATGTGGACTTTATCACTACCCTGGGCAGCCTGTGCCAGGCATGGATGACCCTTTTCTTAGAGACATTTTTCTCAATATCCAACCTAAACCTCCCCTGGCACAGCTTGAAGCCATTTCCTCTTGTCCTGTCCCTTGTCTCCTGGGAGAAGAGGCCGACCTCCACCTGGTTACATCCTTCTTTCAGGTAGTGGTAGAGAGTGAGAAGCTTCCCCCTGAGCCTCCTTCTCTTCAGGCTGAGCTCCCTGCCCCTCCCAGCTCCCCTGGGCACTACTACAATGAGCTTGTAGTAACATAAGAGCAACAGATGTCATCCACCTGGACTTGTACAAAGCATTTGACACTGTCCCACCCAACACCCAGTGTCTAAACTGGAGACATGGATTTGACAGATGGACCATTCAGTGGATTAGGAACTGGCTGGATGGTCCCTCTCCAAGAGCTGCAGTCACCGGCTCAGTGTCCATGTGGAGACCATAGGTGAGTGCTGTTGTTCAGGTCTCCCTAAGGACCAGCAATATTTAACATCCTTGTTGGTGACATGGACAGTGGGACCGAGGGCACCCCAGCACATTTGCCAATGGCAAGGAGCTGTGTAGTACAGGCATGCGCTGGAGGGAACAGGAGTGGCATCCAGAGGGAACTGGACAGGAGAGGTGGGACTGTGCCAGCCTCATGGGGTTTCAGCAGGACCAAGGGCAAGGTCCTGTCCCTGGGCTGGGGCAATCCCAGCACAAATACAGACTGGTCAGAGAATGTATCAAAAGCAGCTCTGGGGAGAAGGACCTGGAGGCATCTGTAGACAAAATCTTCAGTGACTCAGCAGTATGTGCTCACAGCACAGAAAGTCAACCATGTCCCAGGCTGCATCAAACGACGTGTGGCCAGCAGGTTGAGGGAGATGATTCTCACCCCCTATGCTGCTTTTCTGAGACCCCACCTGGAGTTCTGCATCCAGGTGTAGTGCCCCCAGCACAATTAAGACATGCAGCTGTTGGAAAAATTCAGAGTCCACTAGCTTGATCAAAGGGTTGAAGCCCCTCTGTTCTGAAGCCAGGCTGAGAGACTCTGGGCTGTTCAGCCTGGAGAAGTGAAGGCTCCAGAAGACCTTAGCACCCCTTCCAGTGCTTAAAGGGACTCCAAGAGAGCTGGAGAGGGACTTTGGAAAAGGGCCTGCAGTGACAGGACAAGGGGAAACAGCTTCCGACTGCCAGAGTGCAGGGTTAGATGGGATATTGGGAATAAATTCTTCTCTGTGAAAGTGTGGAGGCCCTGGCACAGGTTGCCCAGAGAAGTGGCTGCCATTTGTTTGGAAGCGTTCCACACCATGCTGGATGGGGCTCTGGTTAATCTTCTCTACTGGAATGTGTCCCTGCCCACAGCAGAGGGGTGGAGCTAGATGATCTTTAAAGTCCCTTCCACCCCAATCCTTCTATAATTCTATGACTCCAGCCCCTCAATGTCTCTCTTTCTGTTAGAGGCTCAGAACTGGACATGACACTCCAAATGTCTCTGCAGTGCCCAGTAGAGAGAGACAATCACTGCTCTGGGCCTGTGGCCACTCTAGGCTGGTACCAGCCAGATGCCATTTTCCTCCTTGCCCACCTGGGCTCATGTTCAATCATTGTCAAACAGAACCCCCAGGTGCTTTTCCAGCTTTCCAGTCACCCTGCCCTCAATCTGGGGCGCTGCATGGGGTTGTGGTGACCGAAGGGCAGGATGGGACATTTAGCAACCAGACCCTCAGGTGTCTGTGACTGCCAGCATCACTGTGCCATGACAGCAATTTTTCACTAGACTTTCTTTCACTTTTAGCACAAAGGTATCCCCCTTGCATTGCCATCGGTATGGGAACTCACCCCATCTTTTATCAGGAATATTCTGTGTCACACAGACAGCTTCCCAGTGGCCTGCATGCTTACTCAGCATGTGGAAATTTCTCACGCGGCAGTGTTGTCCACCCTCCTCCCCAAAGCCTCCCGTGGTGAGAATCATGTTGGGCTTTATAAGAACAGAGTGGTGACCGTAACGTCTCAGGCCAGGAATTCCTGACAGCCTTGCACACACTGCTGCAGGAACACTCCCTGCCATCCCAACAGGACCAGCGTGACGAGGAACTGGAAGACAAAGAGAACCAAAGAACTTAGGCACAAATACAAAACAAAGATTACATCTTAAGTAAGAGATTAAGCATGTCACCTTTTCAAAATGACCATTCATCTTTTCAAGAAAAAATTGAGAAGCAAGTTGACAGTGCACACAGATAATCTGACATGCTCTAGAAATCAGGATGTAATGGTTAAAACTACTACTGTACCAACTGTAACTTCTACTCTGCCCACTCAGCTCCTGAACTTCTGAGACTGCTTTCATGAGATGGACGTAAGACTAGCCAAGCAAGTGAAGTGTCCTAAACTGCTGCAGCAAGATATTAATCACTGCAGTACCTTCAAAAGGAGGACGTATCTGATTAAGGCAATATTTGGCTACATGAACAGCAAAGAACAGCAGAAAAAGGACAAACACCTGGAAGCTGATTTCAAAGTTTCTTGCCAGATTTTGATCCTACCTTCACAGAAGCACTGAAATAACATTCTGAAGCATGACAAGTAATCTATTAATTCCAGTGGTCCTACTATAGGAGAGTATTTACAATTACTTAAGTATATTCTCTTTAAATATTATATCCCTTAGCAGGAAGCAAACTCTCAGCACAGGACTCTGGCTCATCTACACATTGCTTTCTTTTCATCGGTTTGGAATCTTTGTTTTAATCAAGGGCTTTATTCTTGTGTTGTAAGAGATGATGAAGTGGGGGAGGAACAGCTCGCAGTCCATTTTTTGTATGCCATAATCAGAAAAATCACCTGTACTGATCATTGCAAGACCCTACTTAATCATTTGATGAAGTAAGAAATTTCATCTCCTTGGGCTTATGTGTCTTTTTACAGACTGATCTTTTAAAGATGGAGGAATTTTTTCATGTCACAAAATATACTTACCACAATCTCTTTGGAAGACTTAGTACATGCACTCTCTTGAACTGGGACCCAAGTCTATGTGAGTGGGTAACTGGGGGCATTTTACTGATATTAGAGACGTATCTTTTGCATTCCCAGTGAAATATATCTAAGCATGGACAATCACTGGACTTTGAAGGCTTTTGCTATCAGTTTTGAATACAACAGAGACAACAGCAGAAAGACCCTAATCCTGTCTCTAATTAATCAAATGTCTTCACTGTAATAAAGTCCGTTAAGAAAATGTTAGATTTTTTTTCTTAATTTAAGAATAGATACTATGCATTTAGGAGCCTTCAAGCATTTAACTTAAGGACCAGCGACAATCACACAGTACATTAAATCTCACCCACATTCATTTAGCTTCAATTTCCCATCTTCAAATCTAATTGAGACACAACACATGGATTCAGTGGCCTTGTTGGCCTCAGGAACACTATCCTTTTTCAGCTGCTTTTCTTGCTCCCTAGAACACAGATTTCAACCTTCTCTTGAAGCTACAACTACCTGTGGTGCTATACTGTGAACACTAGTGATATAACTTCTACCCTGAAAAAGGAAGCAATCAGTCAAAACAAGGAATTTCTTGGACTGCTATGGCCACCAAATCCTTTTTATCCTGGAAAGACAATATTTGTCTTGGCTCTTCCCCAGCTGTACCATTTTCCCATCTAAAAAAAGTGACATACAGATTTAAAAGCATTTCAGAAACAGAAATACGGCAGGAACAATTGCACCCACAAGGGATAAGGAAGCAAAGAACAGCTTCATGTCAGGCTCCTGAGTGGTCTGCTGGACAGGGCAGTAAAGATAACAGAACAACCTTCTGGAGGCTGGAAGGAGAGGCTGGATGGAGGCAACCAGGAATAAATTTGAAAGGGAGATCCCAAAAACAGGACTAGGAGCAGGGTAGGCTGGCATTGCAGCCATGCACTGGAGGGGCTCATGTACGAACAAACGACAAGCTGATCAGACTGACAGGTTCAATAAACTGAAAGAACAGGAGTGATCAGAACCAGCAGTTAGGCCACAGCCCTGGCCTTGGTTTGGACAGCAGAACTGCTGTGGAGTGGAGAAAGCTACCAGACAGCAGCATCCCATCTGCCCTTTCCAGGATTTCAATGTCTCCTAAAACCTCTCAGAGATACCTACATGAGATAAAAGAATAATGTGAAAACTACTTGGTGTGTACCTGTCACACTGGGTGACAACGGAGTCCAGGAAGGTTCCATCCCCTTTGATGCAGCCAACACAAAGTAATGAGAACATTTCAGGTGCCATTCCTGTAGCAAGCCCAAAGAAAAAACCAAATAAAAGACAAAGAAACCAATAAAGGAAGAGCCAAACAAAAAACAAACCCCTTAAAAATCTTAGAGCAAACAGTAGTAAGGACCTCATAACAGCCAGTGTGACCAAATCAAATGCCAACAGCCTAGCACTGTTCCCATCAATGGTCAAAATCAGAGGGGTAAAGCTGAATCAGAAAAAGAACTGCCTCTCTCACTCCAACTTTCAAAAATTTACAGCCCAGGGATCTTCTAAGCAAGAAGCTGTGTCTTTGTATCGAACAATCCTTGAAGAATTTTTCATGCATGAACCTACCCAGCTGCTCTTTGAACTCACATAAACTTTTAACATGCCCAACATACATCCCAGAGCTTAACTATGTGTTGCATGGGAAAGTTCTTCTTTTTGGAATCAGCTTCACCTTATGCCTATGAGTTCTGATCATAAAAAAGAGTGAGGTCTTTATACCAGAGGGATTAAAATGATTCCAACGAAATCACAAATGCTAAAAGGTGCAACATGCTCTGTGCTGGACAATAGTACATCATTTTCAGTCTGGCCTTAGAAACATTCTGAGGCAGAAGCACAAGCGAAAGGAAGGTACAGGAAACCAGCAGCAATGAGAGTTCACTGTGGCATTTATGGACATTAGGGAATTGAGTGTGTTCATTCCTGTGGGGTGGGATACATTCAGCCAACTATGTGACTGGCAAGCATAAACAGGAATTTAAAAGGCACAAGTACTCATTGTATCAGCTTCATTGCCCCAACCCATATTAGAAGTAAAAAGCATCTTTTGAAAAGTGACATCCAGAAATTAATGTAAATACTGAAAATGGAAGAATCCACTATTAGTCCCTAAGAAAATTTTTCTAAAAATAGTCTCCCTCCACACTGGGTGTCTATTTTACTTTTTTCCCTAATGTGAACAAGTTTGTTTACAGTAAAACCTTGGATCTTACTTAATCTTTCTCTCAAAGGCTAACTGTAGAGCTGTCTGTTGTCACATCGTATACTCCTGTGCACGTTTCCAGCTCGGATTCATGCACATTAACTTCCTTTGTAAGAAAAACAATACCAAGTCGTTACCTTCCCACTGTATGAGCAATGACCTTGACCTACAGTTCCAGTAGACATTTCTAAACCACTTAGCAAATTTGCCACCACTTTCAGTCACCACTTTTGCATTAATACAGCAGTGCAGATCCTAGCATGTTGGCAAAATAAATTCAAGCACATTCAATTGTTTTCATACTACAGTTATTCGATTTCTAAAATTATAAACAGAAAACCATAAAATCAAAAGGGAAACTTCTAGCAAGTATTCCACAGGATATTTAGCTCAAAGTTACTATCTTCCACTTATCTTCACTTCTATACTTCAAATAGTCGGAAACTTTGCCAGCAGTTAATATAAAAATGGCAAAGAACAGAGTCATAGTTGAATTTCAATCATTAATGCAGGAATGGTTGTACAAAGTCAGACCAAAAAAATCTGAAATTAGTAACCTGTATCCAACAATGACAAACAATAAAGTAGTCTATGGAAATGGAAGAGAGCAGGAAAAGTGCATCTGCTTTCCCCAGGAATGCTCTCAACAAAATGCAGTCAGGAACAGCACATCAGGCATATCTTTATGTATTCAGTAATCCTTAATGGATTTCTCTTTCATTAAAGTAATTGTTCCTTGAATCCATGCCACCCTTTTAGCATGTATAACTTCTTTTATACTCCCAAGTAGTTTGCTATGACAAGCCTGTCTCCTTGAGAGACTGCTCACAGGAAGGGAGGAAGGAACATGCAGCTTTTCTAAGATGAAGGAGAGCCTTCTTCCCATGCTGCTTCACCAGGAGGTCCCCATGGCCTGTGTGTTAACTAAGCTGATCCAAGGTCCTTTCTGCCTCCATGAACACCTGTGCCCCAGCAGCTCTGTACAGAATTGCAACCATAAGAAATTGCAAATACCTTATGATATCAAAGCCAGGTCCCTGATCTTCAGAATAATGGAGGGTTACCTCATACTCATCAAAAGGCTCCAGAGTCTGCACTCTTTGCTGCTCATCTTCTGGAATACAACAGGTGAAAAACTCATTCATATCCATGACACTGCACTCAGTCCAGCCCTAAAAGACAAATTCCTCAAAGTTATTATCCCTGGAAGGACAGAAACTCACTTCCCACAGGAAAACAAAGACCCTAAATTAAACACCTGCATGAGCCACTAAGACTGTTTAGCTAAAGCAAGAGCTTCCTAAAAACTGTTGAAAATAGAGCTCTCATCTGTAAAGTTCTTAAAAATTTAACTTATTATGTCAAAAGTCTCAGAGGAACCCATTAATCCCATATGAGGCCATAGGCTGCGAGCCAGTTGGAAGCACCTTCTAATGACGAGTCATGCTACCAGAGAAGGCAGTAGCTCAGCCTCAGCCCTGTTTGCTTCAGCCCGTAACTGAGCAAGCACTCAGTGCTCCAACCATCCTCAGATAAATCACGCCTCGTGCACGCCCTAGAGCTGCAGGTGCTCACCTTCCCCAGGAAGCGCCTCTGCTGAGCCTGGCAGTCAGGGTACTGTGCCAGCGAGCGCAGCGCAGTGCTCAGCTGCCTGAAATGCTGCTGCATGACACGTCCAAAGGGGTCCTCTGGGTGCACCTGCTCATACAGCAGGAAGCACGCCTGAGGGAAATGCTCTGCTGCCCACTGGATCAAGGCATCTGACCTGTTGGGAGATTGTGCGTAAGAAATTAAATTGAGGGCCCACGCATCACACGACAGATGCAGTGCATCCTTCTGCAACACCACAAAGCTGCTATTAAGGCATCCTGACAAGTGGCAGTACACTAACGAGACTGCTGTGCTGAATATCTCCTCCCCACCTGCACAGACAATTCAGGGAATGAGAAGAACAAAAACCTCAAGACTGTTCATTTGAAATTTTTCTTCTTTCTGTCCTTCCTTTTAGGATATCACATGGACATCAATTACATCATCATAATTATGATGTAGGGAGCTATTTGGGACGCCACAGAATTCCCAAGGTTTTAGTTTCAAAAGACCAGATCTCCGAGCCCAAGATGATGCACTCAGGAAGAAACTTGCTGTTTTCCCTTTACCACTGGGCAAGAGAGGAGAACTCAGCTGACCTGGTGCTCTCCATGTAGGTGAGCACCACCTCGGCGATGAAGAGGGTGGGGATTTCATTGTTCAGTCCTGCTTCCTCCAGGATTCTCTCCAGCTCAGACAGCTCTGATAAATCCACTCCCAGTAATTTATAATCATCTCCAGAAAAGGTAATGGCTCCTGGGAGATAAAAATTATACAACCTCACTATGGTGCTGCTGCAATATTGAGACCAAAAGAGACAAACATGAAAATCAAACCCACAGGCAATCACTCACAAGACTATGTCTGTCACCCTGATTTTTTAAGATTTTCCAAGCCTTCTGATGTTTATACTCTTGCAGCAAACTTTCTCACACACTTTCTGTAAATAACTTATTGTTTTGCTTTCTTTTATGGAGGAGGAGAAATGTGATGGACTGTTGGTTTGTCCAGTGTCATTGGAGAGGTGGCACTGTCACCCTCCAATCCACTGCCACCTTTGAAAATCCATAAATGTTGGAGTCAGAAAATAAACTTCCCCTTTTTACCTTGAGAACAGCAGCATGTTCGTGCCGTGTTTTTTTGTGTCCTATGTGACACTATGTCTATCAACTATATTTCTCTGGAACATGTAAAAGAAAATCCCCATCACTACATGACCCATGAAGGGATAGTGCCATGTGATCCATTAACTGCAGGTCTAAAACTCCCGCATTCCTAATGCAAATTTCACCTACAGATTTCTCATAGAATTATTACACTTACTATAACAAAAAAACTTTATTATATTTATTTTAAGAGAATTTTTTTGAACCACTATAGTTCAAAATCAAACCTAAAGGGCTCTCATTTATACCTTTCACTTTAGGCTATGAAAGCACCATTGCTTTGATAGAATTTCAGTGGTTCCCCTCACAATCAGAACACCATTCTTAGGTTTCCTAGGCTTGGTTGGTTTGTTTGTTAAACAGATTTCATTTCTGTATAATAGCACTGAGTCCTGAAAGTGCATATGCTTGCTCTCAGCAAACACCAGGACCTGACTCACAGACCACCATCCCCAGAAATAAGCTCCAGTTTATGATCTGCAAGCATTATCATACCTCTGTATCCCATCAGAATATATTAAGGTATGGCTTATTTTTGACTTTTTCAGTCAAAACCACATCAGTAACAAACCAAACTGTAAAGTACCTTTAGCAATTACCTACTCTGTCTCTGCAGCCCAACAACTGTAGCTGTCCTGAGCACAGTTAATCTATCTGAGACCTTCCTTTAAGTACCTGAAGATTCTTGGTATGGACAGAGTTCCCTACCAATATCAAAAATGTGAATGGATTCAGGAAGAAAATGAACAAGTTCGTGGAAGAGCTACTCACTAAGCCCTGGGAGTCAGGAACTCACACTCTATAGCTGTCTTCCATCTGTATTTAAATTGATCAATGCCATCTAAATACAGTGGCTTACGTATGTCCCTACTGCATTTCATTCCATGTTTCCCAGATCCTTCGTGTACTTTGTCAAACTCCTACACTCACTCATCTTATTGCAAGTCCCCATGTTTCCTGCAGATTTATGACATTTCATCTTCTATAGCACATAATCTAGAGCATTACTGGAAATGCTGGAGGAAAACAGATGCAGGAGAAACCTCTAGTGATCCACATGCTTTACATTCCTCCTTTTATCCCTCATCACCCAGCTGGCACAAAATTCTGCAGCAGTTTCACAAGGCTCATTTTCTTCTGCCTTGGAGGGCAAAAAAAAAAAGCCAGGAGACATAATAATTAATGTTTTATTACAGTCAAGATACTTAAAATTCAAACCTCCTCTCTTACCCATCAAGCCCATAAATCATTGTATAATTTAGGGTGAAAGGGACATTCAGAAGTCATCTTGCCCAAATGCTTCCTCATGGCAATTATCTTGCTCAAAGATTTGTCTAGTTAAGCTCTATCTCTGTAGTGGTTTTGGTTCCTAAGGCTGGAGATTCCATTACCTTTCTAAGCAATCTGTTCCCATTTTTAACTACTCATATGGCACAATCTCCTCCCCCAACATTTTCATTATACATCACTGGTATTTCCTCTTTTTGCCACTTTCAACTGTTCCTTGACTATCTGCTTTATGCCTCCAAGAAAAGTGTGGTTCTGTCTTTTCTAACCTCTCCCAAGAGGTAAGCTGCAGGGTGCTGTAAGACTCACCTCCCTCCCAAACTCCTCCCCAGACAGCTGAACGAAACCAGCTCTCTCCGCCTCCCCTCCTACATCACCTGCTCCATCACTTCATCATCCTCATAACCTCCCACTAGACACGCTACAGTTTGCCACTGGTTTTGGACCAGCATGCTCCAAGCAGGACACACCCTTTCAGAAATTGCAACAGAAAATAACCTGACCTTGGTTTGATTTAATCAGCTCCTGACAAATCCATCCTGGCTTCTTATTATCTCTCAATGCTTACAAATTATTTGTTTCAACATTTTTCATAAAATGAATATCCTTTTCATCTACAATTTCACAGTTCCCCTACTATAATCCCTTCCTTTTTGAAGGCTGAAGCTGTGTTTATTCCTTCTAAACACTTTGTACAAAAAAAATCTTTCATGAATGCCATACCTGATCTTTCCCCTCCAGTGTCTCCCACCAGTGCTGACAACTCTTTCACTCCTTTGATCAGCGTAGCTTTTTGGCATGCCACATTTGGAAAATCTACCTCATATACCACAGTGTGATGCAGAAGACCCATATCCTTCAAACGGAAGTATAAGGAATCAAAGCCAGCACCTAAAGACAGGATCTGCAGAGAAAGTATCAGAAAAAGTTATACTCAACTCTAGCAGCATCTTGAGCATCTAGGTGTGAAAAATATTAAATATCATCTTTACAGTGACAAAACCAGGCAACCTCCTGCAAGAGGCAGAAGAATTTTGTGTGGATATTGCCCCCCTCCAGATACTGCTGCCAAAGTAACACATGGACAGCCGCTGTCCTGTCGGTCAGATTTCTGTGCCGTGCTGGAAAGGATCCCAACAGATGCATTAACGAGGCACTGCCCAGATGCCAGAAAGACTTTACACACATTTAGTGAGAGATGCCAGATGTCCCAGAGAATATGTACCTGTGTCCTGGGTAGGTTTTGTGTCTTCAGCAGGAAGTCCTGAACACAGTGATCGACAGCACGGGCACGGATGTAATAACCCCTGCAGGAACAAATTCAGTTATAATCACTGTCCAGGAACCTGATTTCTCCAGCACTGGCAACTTCAACTTTAAAAAAATTAAGATTTTTTTTTTTCTCTAAGCTTCTACCCAATAATTCCCCGTTTACAGACCTGCACTGGGAGACGATTTTGTCATCTCTACAGCTTGGTAAAAAATACAGATCTCCTGCAACCAGTGTGCATATTAACCATCAAGATAACAGATAACCCAGAGAAAATGTGCATATACCCCAGCTGGACTAGTTCTGTTTTGCATAAGTAAATATTTGCTGACTGAAAATGTACAAATCCTGACAGTGATGATGCTCCCTGACAATGCAGATGGCCGATACCTGAGTTCCTGCCCCAAACCATATACCACAACAACAAAATTAATGTGTGCTCATGTAGTGAGAAGGGAACAAAAAAAGGGAGGAAAAGCAAAGTGAGGGGAGGAATCCTGTTCTCTGGTTCTTGAATAAACAGAACTAAGTCAGACTAACTCCTGGAAAGCATTTACCATTTCCCTACTCTGCCATGGACTAATGCCTCTTGTTTCTCAGCATTCTCTTTTAGTTAGTTTCATCCTAGATCCACCTGGCTATATTCCTGCTTTTTTCACCCCTTTAACAAGCATGTTATCATCTTCACACCTCACAGGGACCTCACAGTCTAAGATGTCCCAAACTTGTTGATAAATGCAATACAGAGCTCCTGCTGTGAATTCAGCTTGGCATGCCAATGTTGTGTGACGAGTCAGTGCAGGTTTCCTGATGAGCCACACACATCTTCATAGGCCTGCAAGCTTCTGCTTGAGCAGCACTGTTTGATTTTCCCCTGAATGAAACTCCTTTGGAAATTCACAGTGTTTTGGATTGCATTAAACTACTCTCCTCACTTTATGTAAATTTCACAATGTCATCAGCCTAGAGCCCTCTGCAAACACACATTAAAACATTCTTGTGTCTTACAAAGCTCTGGAGACGTTCTCCTGACCAGACACCACTGACTCAAAAGGTCTTGCTTCCCAGAGCCACCAAATACCTTACAGAAATTGTAACATTATGCGGAATTAATGAGAGAACTATTGATGTTATTACACTATTAGTATATCTTCAAATATTACAAAGATTTCAGCAGCATTGAACACTGGAGTTAGGAACCAGTCTGGTGGCATATTCTTCTCAGAACAAACCATTCAGTTTTGGTCCAGAAGCCATGTAACATTGTATTACCAGTCTAACACGGTTACACTACTGCAAGACAGGGCACTGCATGTTGCCACTCCGTACTGTGCTAAAACTGTGTGTGAGAAGCTGTGCCTTGCCCAACTGACAGCTCCAAGCATGAGGGTTTGCGGCAGAAGGGACCTTAAGCTGCCCTCGTTCCACGCTTCTGCCATGGCAGGGACACCTTCCACTGTCCCAGGCTGCTCCCAGTATTCAACCCGGCCATTGACACTGCCAGAGATGAAGCAGTTACAGCTGCCCTCGGCAACCGGAGAGCCAGGGCCTCGCCACCCCGAGATCTTCCCATCACAGGGAAGATCTCCCTACTAATACGTAACCTAAACCTACTCTCTTTCAACTCAAAGCCGTTCCCCCCGTGCTGTCACTCCTGGCTCTCCGCAGTCCGACCCGAGCGGCCGCGATCCCCTCCCGCGCCCCGCAGGCACCGGGGCTCAGCCGCCGGAGCAGCTGAAGGTGCTGCCGAGCCCTCGCTCCTCACCGGTGGATAAGGGGCGCTCGCCGCCGCCGCCGCCCCGCCAAAAGCCGCAGGAACCGGTCCTGGATGTAGCCCCGCGCTGCCGCCGAGCACTTGCTGACGGCGCTGCTGCCGCCGGTGCCCTGGACCTGCCGGGACAATGACACGGCGCTGCCGCTCCCGAGCGGCATCGCGATCCGAGAAACGCACGGGCCCCCGGCGCGGGATGGCGGGGCCGGGCAGCCTCAGGAGGACTCCGAGGGGAGGGGACTGCAGTGTCCGCCGCCGTCGAATGCCCCTCCGACCCAGCCTCCGCTCCCCTCGCTCTCCGAAGCAGCCGGGCCGAGGCTCCCCGGGCCGTTCCCAGCGGCAGCGGGGCCCCGCGGTCGCTCACAGCCCCGCGGGTCACTCGGGCCCGGGGGTCACTCGCGGCCCCGCGGTCGCTCACAGCCCCGCGGGTCACTCGGACCCGGGGGGTCACTCGGGCCCGGGGGTCGCTCACAGCCCCGCGGGTCACTCGGGCCCGGGGGTCACTCGGGCCCGGGGGTCACTAGGACCCGGGGGTCACTCGCGGCCCGGGACGTCCGGGGCCCATGCTGCGCACACCGCGCCGACCGGAAGCAGGAGCGCAGGGCCGGACGCAGAGAGCGCGGAGCGCGCCCCCTCGCGGGCCCGCCCTGGCACTGCCGATGCCTCCCACCGGTGCGGGACCGCGGGCGGCGCCGTTCATCGGGAGAGAGACGGAAAGCACCGGGCAGCTGTGGGAGGGGCACCCGTGCCCGGGGTGCACTGAGCAACGGGCAAGGAACGCCCCGGGCACTGGGCAGCGGGCACGGAACGCACCGGGCAAGGAGCGCCCCGGGCACTGGGCACCGGGCACGGAGCGCCCCGGGCTGTGGGCACCGGGCGGCCCCGGCGCGGTAAGCGGGCTGCAGGGCGCAGTCTCGGTGCGGGGCATCCGTTCGGGCCGGGCCCTGCCCCGAGCTGCCCGGCCGGAGGTGGCGCTGCTGGCTGCGCGCTGAGGGCGCCCGGCCGTGCTGAGGAGCGGCGGGCAGGGCCGCGGGGTCTGTGGCGGCCGCGGTGAGTGATGCTCTTCAGGACTTTACTGGAGGTACAGAGCAGCGGTGGTGGTCTGTTTATTCAGCAGTAGTCTGTCGGTAGTGGTGGTCTATTCAGTCTATTCAGCCATTGTTCTGTTCAGTGTCTCTACACATCTTGCAACCCACAAATTAGTGTATTTTGCTTTAAATAAGTTACAGTCTCAAAGTGTCACTTTTAAAGTAAGTGGTCACTTTTAAAGTGTCAATTTAAAATGCTGTGCCGTGGAAGCATTGCTATTTAAAATACTTGGTTGTAACATTATGGATATTGTCCTGTTGGTCCTCATTACTGCAAGAGTAGAGGGCTGGATTCACCTGCCAGTCCAGGACAATGTGGTAAGAATTTGATCTGGGAGAGCATATGGTTTGAGCCTCAGATCCCAATCATTTTATTGTAATGTAATGTCACGGAGAGGCCTCAGTGATGGGACAAGACCTTGTCTGGCTCAGGGCAGTAAAATACAGAGCCAAGCAACACAACTTGTGAGTTATGCGCATGGAAGTAGTGAGTGTACAGTATAAACACTGCACAAAATACATCTGTGTCATCAAAAAGGCTGTGAATAATAAGATACAGAATCACAGAGTAGTTTAGGTTGGAGGAGACTTTTAAGAATCGTCTAGTCCACCCTCTGACATGGGCAAGGACATGTTTCACTAGACCCAGTTGCTTAAAACCCCATCCACCAGCCTTGATCACTGAAAGCAATCACAGGAACTTGGTCACAGGAGACTTGCTTCCTGGTCATTGTTAAGAATGTAAACATCTCCAAAAAACCCCATCACCGTCCAGGAAAATACTGTGATTTTCTCGTACTTTGATGTTCACTGGAATCTTGTCTCCATCAAAAAGAGTGATAGAAAGGAAGATATCCTTAGATATAATGGCAGTGATGTCAGAAGTGGAGAGAAGAAACAATCATCCTCTGTCTTGTCACAGAAGTGACAAGGAAAGTGCAGGAAACAGTTGTGAGAGCTTTAAAGAGTGATTTGTTTTATTGCCTTGTGGAGACTGCAGTAGAGAAGGAGGAAGTAAGGTATGGATGTGCTGAAATGCTAGCCTGGAGGGATAGGTTTTGCACTGGTATTATAGTGAGGTAGGTTTGTGAATCAACACTTGAGGAGATGTGGCAAACAAGAATGCTGAAGATGGGGGTTTTGTTTTTCTGTTCTTGTTTTGCAGAGAACTTGGACCAGAGGATCTGGGGGAGGTCCCAATGTGCTGATATTTATAGGATGGAAATGACATAGGATGTCTTGTGAAATTGTTTGATACTACAGTATCAGCCCTGGACAGAATAGTGGAAGGGTTGGCCACACATTGTCAGAGGGAATGATGACTGCTGTTAGCTCTACAGTCAATGTACATTTCCAAGAAATGTAATTTATGCCTGTTTGGAATACCACCAGTGGAGGTACATTGCTATCCCAGGATATTTTGCTTCCCTGTGTTTTATGCAATATTGTGGTCTTTTAAAATCTATGTGTTAGTAATTCAGAACTTCATCAAGTTGTGTTACCCAGTTCATGTGGAAGGACAAGAGCTTGACTTTAGGCACTGCTGGAATTGGCAATTTTGGAAAAATTACTAGAGTTTTGAAAATTATGTTTTCTTGCAGGAGGACACTCTCAAGCTCCACATCAAGGGATGCCGAGCTCCACCTGCCTTTTTTTCAGTGGGAGCACTCTTCATCTGCTCACTACCACAGAGCTCCCGTGCTCTTGCTGCTTTCCCTATTTTAAGGACACATTACCAAATGTATCTGTTGCATTTACATTCAGTGATTCTCTGAATTTTGTGAATAAACATGGATTGTACTCATGGCATGGTATTCCTGATAAACTGACACTGCATGTGCTGCTGTGTTGGAGGTATGTCTGTGCTGTTCAGAGACCTTGAAACACTGGATCAATTTACTTTTGCTCTCTGTGATGCCTTAAGTTTTAGATTTCATGTTTTCCAGATTCTGTACTGCCTTAGTGTATAACTCTGAACTTCATATAAAGTGTCAGCAGTTCTCCTCACAGCTCAGTCACACAAACCAATCCTTTTCCAGCCCAGAACCAAGGAGCTTCAGCCCCAAAAAGTGCAAACAACAGGGAATTGAGGAGGGCAGTCTGGGAAGATGGGACTGCATAGCCTGGAGCTGTAACTGGACAATTAACCCCGATATGGAAATGGACCAAACTTATAAAAGTGTAAAAACTCTTGACCCATCTTGGGTGGAGCCATGGCCAGGCTCTTGTACTGCCCAAGGTGATTCCTTTGAAGGCCTTTTAATAAATCCTTACTTTATTCCTTTAACTCTGTCCAGCCTCTGTTCCAGGTCTGCCTCTCTAGGTATCATCTGTACAGGCTGAACTGCAGTTTGAGTTATTGCACGGTGTGGACTTTGATTCAAAGAGTTACTGAGCAAGACAGAAGCCTTTAACTTTCACTGAGGGAAGCTGAAGTTCCAAAAGTAACCTTTATGTCTGTATTTAGGGACCTGGTGTTTGGGGTGCTGTTCCTGCAGCTGCTGTGATCAGCATACTCAAGCCTCTCAGAGCTCCATTTGTATTTAAGAGATAAAGACCCTGCCTTGTTCTTCTCTCCAAATGCACAAGTTACACACTGTTTCACAGTTTCTTTGGTGACTTGAAAGCTTTCAAAAATCTGTCTCTTCCATTGTTTCCTCCTCACCTCTGTCTCAATTCCCTGTCTGTAAAATAGGGATAAGATCAAATTTCCTACTCCAAGGGGAAAAACATGAAGGAAAAAAAAAAAAAAAGGATTTTTTGACACATCAGAGAGAAGTGATGTCGGTGAGATATTTTTCAGTAGTACATGAAGAGCTCATTAAATGCTGATCAGTGATTAACTGATCAACTTCTGACTTAAACTCTGTTGCTGCTTTTCCAATAGATGATTGTCAGCAGTAGGGCTATTTCCAGGAGAGTGGTACAGAGCACTTCATGGGTACAGATTGGTGTCTGTGTCCTGGAAAGCGGGAATTACAGGAATTAGTGATTGTATTAGGTGACCAATAAAGTAGAGGTTCCACTTTAATGAGACAGCTAGACCAAAAGGTGTTTTGAAGCATATATGAAAAAAAGAATAGAACTGTTGAAAGATACCAATAATCATCTAGTTCAACTGTAAGAAGGATTGGCATTACTTACGTTTATTTCATTAAAATTGATTACTGGCACTACGTCAGTGTTGTGGGATCAGCATTTCAAACCTCTTTTGGTTGGGAGTTGAAAGGAGTTGTGATTTGAGGTCACCCCTGTATTCAGAGATTGAGGGCACAGAGTCTCTTCAGTTGTAAAATGGTTGTAAAACTGACTAGTATGGATCTACAACAAGACTTTCAGAAAAAGAAATCCAATCTGTAATTGGACTGTGAGCAGATTTTGTCAAGCTCCCAGCTACATGATGCAGCTACTCTGCTGGCAGCTGACATTATTTCCTACCAATTTCCTGATGTTTCAAGGATCACCAGTATTGTAATGTTTGTCAGCAGACGTAGTGCTGCTTTCCCCAAGTTAGAATTCCCCATCCACATGATGTTTAAACCAGAATCACACATACCCATTTATTCCCAAGAGGCTTAGATGGACAGGATAGCACAGGGAAAGTCCTTCAGTGTTGTGGCTCCCAGTTCTGCAACATCTCACAGTTTCATCCTGCTGTCATTTCTGCTTCCAGGGTCTCCTAACCTGACACAGACATCTACTCAGTCTCCAGGGAGTCTCTGGTCTATGAGTTTGGCCTTACAGCATCTGAGCCACAATGTCATCACCTTGGGGCCCCACACATGGATGGCAAGGGAGGAAACAGGATAAATTGTGCTGGCCCCTGCTTTCTTGTGGTGAGATCTGCAGTTGCCAGAAACTTCCAGCCTTTGTTCTGGGCTGGGAATGGGTTTCATAATGGGGAGGAGGGCACTTTCTATTCTGAGAGGAGAAAGCAGCACCAAGGAAGGTTTTAATTTTCTGCCACCAGTGCAGAGCAGACAGTTTGCTGGCAGCTGCAGGGCTTGATAAACACTGCAGTCCTGATCCAGTCTGTCACAGGGAGGGGGACTGCAGCAATGGAGTATGTTCTTATCCTGTGGGAAAGGGTCCTTGATGGAGTGATGCCTAAAGATTTTTGCTTTTTATACATTTTTCATAAATTTGTAGTTTTGTGGACTGTTAATACATATAATTTCTAGTACTTTTTCTGTCCTCTCCCATAGTTTTAACAAACCTTAGAAATACATTTCTGAAATTCTGTTTAGTCTTAATTTTTTATGCCTTTCCCTGCAATCAGGCACTTTTCCTCTGTTACAGTCATGCACCCTGAGGTCCTATTATGAAAATTTTCTGCTTAGTATTTTTCAAATGCTTTGAGGGACGGTTCTTGTTTATATGCCATTCTTACTTTTTTATTCCTCCCATCTTGCTGATGCTATTTTTCCATCTTGTTACCCTTATCTGTTAGTGGTTCCCATTGCCTTTGCTAGTTCCTTTCTCTGCCTTGTTTTTGTTTTCCCATGGTAAGTATAAATTTAAATTCTGCATCCATTTGCAAGAGCTGCTGCTTCCTTCTGTCCCCCTTAATTTGATTAATATTTCCTTCCATCTTTTCTGCTTATTCAACTGGTCATGTTGCTGATTTTAATATTACGTTGCTTTTTCCTGCTGTTTCTGAAATGCACTTTGTAAGCAATGGATCTATCTCTGGCACCTTCATGGTCTCCCTGTCTACGTCCTGAGTCCTTTAGCAGCTTCAATGCCTTTATTTGACATTTCTCAGGTCTAAATTGATAACTTGTGTTGTCTGAACTGAGTCAGGTGCCAGGGGAGTGCTGCACTGCTGCTTTTCCATTGCTGCCTTTCCCTCTGCCCTGCTTCCTTTCATCTTCTCTTCAGAGCAGTGCTGTGTTCAGTTTTTTTGGTGTTGCTGTCACCAGATCCACCCTGCCAGCCTTTCTTTTTTCAGTTACTGTCTCTTTCTCTTTTTCTGCTCAGCCATGGCTCACACTTCTCCACTGACTAATTCTCTTCATGCTCTGATGTTCTCTCTCATTGATTAATTTTCTCCTTCCCTTCCATTGCAATCTAAACCCCAAAATTCCTCAGCCTTTAAAGACTTATAGGATCTCCTTCACCTCCTGCATGGGTTCTTCCCACTTTCACTTTGCCATCTTCCTAATTTAAAATGGGAAGGTTCAAAGTTTGGCGTATTTCCTTGTCCTTCATCTCAGGTGGATTTGACCTGTTTTAGCTCATTCCTCAAACTCTTTCCTCCTCCTGTGCTCAATTGTTTCTTTGTAAGAGCTCCCTACTTCCTCCCACTGGAAAGGTACAGGAAATAACCTCTTCTTTCTTTTTGCCTTGTTTCATTCTTCTCTTTCTTCTCCCCATCACTAATGCAGAAATTTCTTATCTATTTTGTTATTGCAATCTAAGTGAATCACTGAGGATTTCAAATGCAGAGTTTCAAATAATTTATGTGACTAATCGTTTGCTCTAGAAGGGAAGATGAAGTTTGTAGGTGGTGTTTGTACAACAAGCAGTGACTTTGCAGCATGGTGGGCTCTGTATCTCAGTCTCCAAGGCTACAGGCTACAGCAAGAGTGAACTTAAAACCTGTAATGCACAAAATCACTCAGGCACAAAGTAAGTGCTGTGAGATGTGCTAATTTTCTGTAAACAACACTTAACCCTTATGTTTTGCTTCTCTATTTGAGAAATAATCAACTGTACAAATAAAACAAAGGTCTGCAGTAGTGTGCGATACAGGTGAAGGATAATGTTTCTCAGAATCACGGAGTACTGAAAGCTGCATATTGTCCATTGTGGCTGTGACAGAGGCTGCTGAAGCCACTGCAGGTCCCAGGGTTCCTTAGGTGGGAGATGTTGGATATGGAGCCTTTCTAAGTGCAGATCTGGACACGTGGTGGAACAGACCTGGGAAGGTGCTGAGAGTCCTTCACCTTTAACAGAAATGAAAACAGAAGTTATTATTCTTATTCTATATTAGAATGTAATAGTTCCACTAGGAATAGAATAGTTCCACTATGAACCTGCAAGGATCATCTAATCAAATTGCTCAACTGCTTCAGGGCTGACCAAAAGTTAAAGCTTTAAGGCATTAAGGGCAATGTCCAAATTCCTCTTAAACACTGATAGGCTTGGGGCATTGGCCATCTCTCTAGAAAGTCTGTTACAGTGTTTGACCAGCCTTTCTGTTAAAGAAATGCTTCCTCATGTCATCTGAACCTCCCTGCTCAGATTAAAAACAACACAGATTTTTCTGATTCCTGTACTGTTGTGCTCCCTGCTCATGTGATTTTACTTTGAACACTTTTTCAGGTTTGTCAAATCCAGGATGAATGGAGAACGTTCAGCTGCTTAAGATCATATTTTGCCTTCATTAAGGAACCACAGAACCTGGAATGGGACAACCATCAGTACCAGTGGAGGCTGGGGATGGAGAGACTGAGAGCAGTCCTGCCAAGCCTGGCGATACCAGTGGATGGAGCACTGGCTGTGAGCTGGCAGCCCAGAAAATCCATCGGGGCTGGGGCCAGCTCCAGGGCAGTGATTCTCCCCTTCTCTGCCCAGGTGAGACTGCCTCCAGCTCTGGGGACCAGCAGGAAGGACATGGAGCTGTGGTGGGAGCCCAGAGGAGGCCACGGAGATGGTCCCAAGGCTGGAGCCCCTCTGCTGTGGAGACAGGCTGGGAGAGCTGGGGGAGCTCAGCCAGGAGAGGAGGGGGCTCCACCTTGTCACAACTTTTCAATACTTAAAGGAGGCTTATGAGAACAACAAAGATACTTCTTACCAAGACCTGCAGTACCAGGACATGGAATAATGGTTTAAAACTAAAAGAGGGTAGATTTTGACATAGCAGAGACGTGTTCACATAATTAAGGTTGGGGTTTTTTTTTGTTTGCAATCCATGATGATGTAACACTGAATATTCTTATCCTTGAAAAACTCTAATCATTGAATCTTCTTGACCCTTTTGTTTAACTGTATCTTTTAATTATAAGATCTACAATTGAAACGCACGTATAACTGTGGGTTTTATGTTCAGAACTGTGGGATTTAAATGACTCAGTGATGCAGTTGCTAGCAGTCATAAATCCCAAACCAACAGAAAGAGTACTGTGAATTGGACTGTCATCTTGTAAAACACGTGCCATAGAACTTCACTGAATTATCTTTTTCTTGATTTAATAACATATATTAGGGGAAAAAACCCTAACCCACAAATAAAACCCACCAAAACACAAACAAAAAATTAAAACAAAACAGAACAAAAAGAAACCCAAAGCAAAGCCCCTCACAAGCATGCTTTCACTGAGAAGTTACCAGTCGCCAGAAATTTACAACATCATTAGTTAAGTTGCTCATATTGTTAATTACTTCGGCTGTTAAATTATGTATCCTGATTTTGAGCTGAATTGGTCTGTCTTATAAGATTGCATCCAGGACAGTTTTGCATTCTGTTACATTCAATCTAAAAGACTGGTAATTGTTCAAAACACTTTTTAAGAAATCTTCCCTAAATATATCTACTGCATTGGATATTTACCAAATATTTAACCTCTAATATGGTAGAATTGATTAAAAATTGTTTCCATTATCAATTGCTGCAGTTATGTATGCTCATTCTGTCCATTCTGGAATGCAGAGACAATGTAAGAATCAAAACTGAAATCCAGTTGTTTCAATCAGAAAAATGAGCATTTCCACACCCTCCCTGCACATGTGCTGTTGACAACATGCTTCTCAGGTATAGAAATCAGCCTCTTCATTTCTGTGGATTCTAGGTTTCTCTCTATTACCTTTCTCAAGTAGTTTCTCATACAGTCTGATGCCTTAGCCAAGGACAGCAGAGTATTGGGCCGCAGTTCAACAACAGCAGCAACTACACAAGCAAAACTGGTTGCAATTTCAGACTGTAAAAATGCAGAATGGGAATCAGAGTGCTGAAGGAGCACTGCACTAAGGGAGCTGCTGCTGCACAGGGAACACCAGGAGATGCCTTGGCCAGCAGCTGTGGGGCAGTGGTGTGATTGGGGCAACACTGCTCCAAGAGAGCTGTGGCTACTGCTGTGGGGGCCTCTAAGACAAGGAGGAAGCTGTGGAGCAAACAGGCTTGTCTGTGGTTTCTGAGAGAGCAGTAGTTAAAGCTGCTGCTGCTGCAGGGTGAAATGCAATCCATCCAGATTTTCTGTCTCCCCTGCTCTACACTGGGCCATGAGTTGACAAAATAAATTTCTGGCCTGTTTGGTCAGTTATCAGGGTTCAATACTCTCTGTCCTGATTCTTTTAGGAAGACCATGTGAGGAGGATTTATTGTTTGGAAGCAGATCTACTTATGTGAAGACACTTGGCATTACGTAATGTGATTTACAGACATGCCCCAGCTCTTACACCTTCCTTTCTGTATCCCTCACCTCATTGACACTGCCAGTAGATCCCGTCAGAGAGGTTTTATAGTATTGCCTGATGAGCTTCTGAAAAGTATTTAGATTTTGTAAGGCAGGCAAGTATAAATGCTATAAACTTGTATCTTGTCTGCTTTGTGAACTTGTGACCCTGTGGCAAATTAGGGGCTGCCAAAGACTTGAGTAATAGACAGGATCCCATTCTTGGTCATCAAGGAGAACATCATAGAGGAGAAGAGTATCACCAACTTTGAAATGTTAAATATAAAATTACACTACAGCTTGTAAAAAAAATATTCAAATGATAACTAACACCCTGGCTTTAAAACCAGTGACTGTGTGCACCAGCTGTGGGACTGACATTCTCTGCAGTTACCTAAGGTGTCATTCAATTTAAATAAAAGGAAAAATCATCCCATGCAGCTGTTCATAAAGGTGATGTGAGAAGGGTTTAACCCATCTGGTTACTGGAAGAGTTCAAGGCCAGTTTGGATGGGACTTGGAGCAACCTGGTCTAGTGAAAAGTGTCCCTCTCTGTGGCAGGGGGGCTGGAGATAGATTTTAAAGTCCCTGTACATCCAAATCGCTGTGGAATTGTGACTGTGGTTATCCTTCCTGACTAGAGCCTTACTGAAGCTGAGCCACTAACATCTGCTGATCTCCTCTCCAACCCTAAATCATCTCCTTGTAGGAGGCTATTGGGTTACTTGAGCATAATTTTCTCTTTATAAATCATAGAATATTCTTAGCTGGAAAGGACCCACAAGGATCCACCTCTTAAGTGAATGGTCCATACAGAGGTTGAACCCACAACCTTGGCATTATTAGCACCATGCTCTCACCAGCTGAGCTAAAATCTTTGCTAATTCCTCCCAATCACCTTTGTGCCTTCTGGTGTTTGGAAATGCTTTTCAGGAAGGTTTGCCCTGTCACCTTTCTAGGGACAGAGGTGAGGCTGACTGGCCTGTACTGACTGACCTGTAGTTCCCTGAATCTTCCTTTGTGCTCTTCTGGAAGATAGGAGTGACATTTGCTTTCTTCCAGGTGTCACGAGCCTCCCTTCATCACCAGGTCCTCTCAAAGAAAATCACGAGTGGCCTCACAGTGGTGTTACCCAGCTCCCTCACTACCCACGGGTGCATCCTTTCAGGTCTCTGCTACAAGTGGTCCCTATGTCAGTCTGCTGCACTGAAGGTATATATTCATTGCTCTTGAGCTTCCCTTTGGTCTCAGAGGCCTGCAGTCCCTGGAGGCTGCTGTTCCACATCCTTCAGCCCTGGGGTGCTTGCCCCGTTTGGTCATGGGTCATGTTTTCCTTAGTTTTCCTGTTGCTACAGACACATCTGCAGAAGCCTCTCTTACTGCACTTCACCTCTCTTGCCATATTTGACTCCACGTGGGCTTGGGTTTTTCCTATCCCTTTTCTTCTTCCTTGGATAACACTTCTATATTCCCCCTGAATTACCTGTCCCTTCTCTCATCTCACAGCACCTCTCAGTGGCCTGAGTTATTTCTGGATAATTAAATCATTAAATTGACTCATAAACCAAAATGTTCTTCCTTCTTCTGCATCAGTTATGGCCCTTAAGGTTCTGTAAAACAGGATCAGAAAGTAATGGTTTATAGCCTGAATCTGTTCTTGGAGGAGCAACAGGGCTGGGATTTAACCTGGAGGACTGAGTAACTTTTAAAGTGAATAGTGGGCCCATATGTGCACTTTTAACCTAGGGGATGTTTTGGGATTGTGACTTGGATTAGATCATGTGATGTTACCGAATGGTCACATGTTTGTCAGGTTATGTGCATCATGGTAGCTTTATCTGCAAGGTAACAATCTGTTATTTTGGTTTTTTTAAACAATATGTTTAGCAGGCACTGGACAGTGTCTGGGACTTGCAAGCAATGCTACACCACAGATAACGAATGTTCCTGAGATCAGCATTGTGTCAGACAGAAACTCCCACAAGATGGAGCTGCGCCATACCAGTATACCAGTTCATTCTGCCTTCCTCTGGGCAGGCGGTCCTTGTCTGTGTCTGTGTGTGTGTGTCTGTGTGTCTGTCTGTGTCTGTGCGAGTGATCCTCTCCACAGACAACTCCCCACCCTATTTGTGGTATCTGATGCATGCATCCAGCACATTCTGCACAGACTGCCCGCCCGGTGTGGCACTGCTCCCGTTTGCTGTTGGCATCTGCAGTCCACAGGATTTGTGGGATGTCGTTGCATCCCAGGGCACAACAGTTGTGGATGATAAACTTGGTTTGTCACAGGGAAAAAGAAGGTCAAGCCATTTGCATTTTTTTCCCTGGAGAAATCATCAGATCTTACTTCAGACCTGCCACTGCATGGCAGACCAGAGCTTGAACCAAAGCTTAAGCATAGACAAATTTGGTGCAAGTGGGCAATTCCTGGACAGTACCCTCATCGCTGCAGAATTCTCCCGAGTCCCTGCTGCTGGGCAGGAGAGTCCAATGGAGTCGGCAGCATGTGGGTGAGATTTGACTCTACTGATCTCAGAGCCTTTCCTTCCTGAACAAACATTTTCCATTCTGAAATAATCACCTCACTATATATAGAAAACTCCTCCAAAGCAAAAGCCATGTTCTTTAGGAAGGGATAATTCACAAATTGTTTTGTTCCTTTCACCGGAACCAATGGGTCCTTTGCCCTCGGGCTTGTACCTGTGTGTGCACACCAAAGGCATGTGTCACCTCATGCAGAAATACCCTGCATTTCCCCTGCTCCTGCCCCCAGCCCGCGGATTCCGAGGCTGTGTCTGTAATCACAATCCACGGCATTTCGGAAACCACCCCCCCATCTTGCTTCCTCCCAGCTGATTTTCAGGGGAACAGAAGGAGACTTGTTTGCTACCAGGGAGGAAGTCCAGGCCTTAGCAAGCAGCTTTCTAAGAGGCACCGGTGAGAGCGGTGCGCTTCAGCCAGCGCTCCCTGGCAGAACTGCTGCCAAATGAGGTCACCCTGCTGCAGACGTGGATGGAGAGATCTCGGAGGAGGAGAGTGCAAGGAGCCAGTACAGGAAGTGGAGCAGTCAGTAGCACAGGGCTCGGCTCAGTCCGCTCACCCTCTGGAAATGTTGATTTCAGTTTTGTCTTGGCCCACAGATGGACATGTATTAGACGGCTTCCTTCTCATCATTATCTCATTCCTTTCCTCATACACCGACTCCTTGGTGTGACACAGTTCAGCCATTGCTCTGGGAAGGGTTCCACGGGGCAGGCAGCACGCAGGTTCAGGTCAGACACCATGACTGGATGGCACTGTCCGCGTCCTTTGGGAATCACAAAGGTCACAGAAGCCCTGGGACAGACTCCACCTCCTGAGAAAGGCCACAGACTTGTAGAATTGGAGAATACCAGGTTGGAACTGATCTCAGGGGTCATGTGGTACAAGTTTTCTGGGCAAAAGCATGGTCCATATGAGCTGGCCCAGTACCCTTATTAGCCAAGATGTACAGCTTTGACTGCTAGGAATCTGTTATGTGTTTTTCATGATTATTCTAGTGATTAATTCCTCCTTCCACTGAACTACTGCTCTTTCCATTTGCATAACTTCAGTTCCACAGTATATCTCCTGTTACACCTTTATTTGCTAGATTGAAACATTATTATTATTGAAACAATTAAAAATTTTCATTCTTAGAGATCCTTAGAAATCATTACTTTTTTTAATCTTACTAAAGGTCTTCACATGGAACCTTGTTCCTTGGATCTTGACTCATTCTTATGACTCTTCTCTGACCATTTTGAGTTTTCTGCAGTTGTTATAAATATTGAACATTAAGTTTGCATCACTGAACCTGCAGTAACAGAATTTCCCTGTTGTTCTGTATCCTTCTGTTTAGTCAGTTTATATTTCCTTGAAGATCATTAGTCAAGATACTAAAAACATTGTCAGAAATTTAAAAATTAATGTAAGTAGTATTATTATTCCTTGGTAGGAAGTTTATGTGCTTAATAGGAACAGTATACTGTACAGATAGAACCCATCTGTACGGTTTGGTTTATAGGGACCTGTAGGTTGGATATTAATCAGCTGAGGGCATATTGTAAAAAAAAATAACATCATATGAGATGGTATAAACAGGAATATGACTTGCAGGATGCATGAACTAACATTTCTGGCTCTGCTTTGCTGTGATCAGGCCCACAGCCAGACCATGTCCAGTACTGTGTGCCAGTGCACCCCAGAGAATGCAGAAAAATTTGTGAACATCCAG